GGGGGGGGGGGGGGCACTGGCTGGATCGTATAACGTTTCAGAGGTAGCAAAATTTGATTTCGTCCAATTTCCGCTCGAGCCGACTCTGCGTTACCAACGCGTGGCAAGGGGGGGGGGGGGCGATTGCCCCGGGGCGGCAAATCGTTGAAGATCAACGTAAAATAAAAGATGTATATATATATGATTTATAAAGTTTGCGTTGAAAACGCGTAACGAACAGCGCGACGACGAGTGGAGCGTTGTTGGGAGGACACGTTTGCCGCGCGGTGGGATAGACGCGTACGCGGGTAGGAGGAGTGGGAGAGACGGCCGATGACCACGCGCGCACGCTGTATACGAACGGGCAGCAGTAGGGTGGTCGAACGAGGCACGAGCGCGACGCGGACGGACAATCGCAGTGGACCGGGCGCGATCAGTAGTCACCGTGAGTCGCGACGTGAGCACCGCGTCAGTCAGCCAGTCAGTCGCGAATCGGCAACGACAACGGTCCGACCGAAAACGAATACCCGTCGCCACCGCGAGATCGCGATTTCGCGCGCAACACCGGCGCAGGTACCGACTCGGCGCGCGCAGTACCCCAGTGAAAGCGATTACGGTTGCGGCGGCGAATTGTTTTTCATATTTTTAAACATTTTTTTTTTTTTTTTTTCCTCTCTCTTATCCCTCTCTCGCGCCCTGGACGTTTTACCGCGACCGACTCCGTCGTACCGTCCGTCGTTCGCGCGGGTTCGCGTCCCTCCGACCGCCGCTGTGCGATCGTTTTGTGCGCTCGTCCCGCCGCCGCGGTGGTCTTTTCCGTCGAAGGATCCGAGTTTTTCTTTCGCTACTGCAAAACACAACATTCCGCTCCGTTTGCGCTGCGCTACCATCGAACGAGTAAGTACTCGGACGAAATTTATTTATTATTTTATGTGTACGCGTTTTATCTGTCTCTCTCTCTCCGGTTGCGTGCGTGTATACACGCTCGAGCGCGTGCGCGCGCAAGTACCTACGCGCTGTGTGCGTGTATGTGTGCCTAGTACTGATTTCGAGCGAAATCGAAACCGCTCGTTCGCAGCCGTACGAGTTTTTAGACGAGTTTTACGTAACGACGCAAAAGTTGTTGTTTCGAACGTATATAGAAAGGTTCGAGCGCGCGGTGATTTATTTTTATTTTTTATTTTTTTTTTTTTTACCGTACGTCGAATATGAAAGTGAATTTGCTCTACGGCGTACACGTGTAACATAATACCATTAAGAATCGTAAGCACTGTCCGCGGTAATAATACGTATCACTGCAACGCTGTGTGCGTCGCGTGTAATGCTGACGATTGTTCCGAACGCTCGTGATTCTGGCGGGTACGCGATACTATTGAAAACGCGCGACAACACGGCCGTATCACGTTTACGAAGCTTTCGCGAGACAACGTTAAGTTCTTCGCTCTAGACCGAATATTGGTTCTACGGTGGTCTACGCGCGTCTCCAGGAATGTTGCACGTATTATTACGGGTACCTGCGCGCGCGTTTGGAACAAAACCGATCGGAAGAAAGTAAAAGCCGGTAGGTGAACAAGGAAATAATAATATTACGGTGTGGGAGAAAATGTATCAATGGTCATTGTGGTCGGACAAAGCAGAGAAATCATATTTGTGTTTGGAAGTAAAAAAAAAAATAAATAAAAAAAATAATAGTATTTCGTAACGAATAAATATTACAATGTCACGAATGTGTGTGTGTGTGTATGTGTTCGATTAAGAAAAAAAAAATGAAAATAATAATGGTAATAATATCTAATGGCGACAAAACGTCGGTTGCCGCCAAAGCGCAACAACTCATCGGAAACGGTCATTAATGTCAGATACGCACGTTTAAGTCTAATCTCGTAACGCGAACGACGCGCAGTATATCCTACGCGAGGGACCCACGAAACGTATGCGCGTCAACAAAGTCGAAGTGATGCGTGATTCTCGTATTTTCGTCGAAACAAAAATCTTCGTGACGCTGCACGTGCGACGGGGGATGTTTGAAAACTTTACGAAGAAACCGTTGCGGATTTTAACGACCGTCGCATGATTCGACAAAACGACCCGTTTCCTGGGTAGTGTGTGAACACCACGTCATACTACAATGATACGACCGTTGTATCGAAAATCGAATTTCCCGAATAGATTTTTTCGACGAGAATGATTCCGCGCAGTGCATACGTACGCTGACAATAATAATAACTCGTACACGTAATACAATCGACGCCGTGTCCCTGCACTGCGCCAGTGTTTCTCAATAGAAGCCGGGTGAAAACGTTTCATCGGGAAAGTCGTACACGTGTACTAAAGTATCGAAATCCAATCGAACGGACCGATTTAATTATCTCCACCTGGTGTTGTTATTGCAGTGCGTTTAATGTGCGTTTAAAGCCTCGATCCGCGAGGGAAAGTAATGATATGGAATTTAATATGTATACGATTCGAGTTTATCACACGCAGCAAACGTTTCCTCTTGAAAAAATAACTAATTTTATGCAGTAGGCTGCTACATAACCGTCGTTGTAACGGTTGATCAACGATCCATTATTAGGATTTAATCGCAATTAATAATATATCGTTGTACACCAGCATTACCGGTTAATGTACGAGTAAATATCCATAAAACAGCCAAACAACATCGTCATCGGTCGTCGGCCAAGCGTACGCGTTATCAGGGGTGGATAGGCCCATAGGGAAAAAGGGATTTTCCCTGTGGGCCCTCGTCCTATATTATGCCGGTGGCCCCTCGATACTATTAATTTTTTTATGGAAATTTATTATTTTTTTTTATAGTTAAATTATTTAAATTAAATTAAGATGAGTAAATATAATACATTTTTTATAGGCAAATTTTTTTTTTCATTTTGATGCCTCCATTAAAATGTTTCCCACTAACAAAAAACTACCTCTGAGCGTTATGACGTCCTTGCATCTCTAAAAATGCTCGTTATCCCTTCGTGTCTAAAAACGGAAGTCCCCTCGTGGAAATATGCATAAACGCGCGCAACACATATTGGACACGCTGTCGAGAATTCGGTTTTTCGGCAAGCGATCACGACGACGACCGCGCGCGCCGCCGCTAACCTTGATCCAAATAACGTAATCGCGTTCAAACGTATTACATACTATTTAGTATACACGCGTATAAGTTGACAGTGTGCGGTACATTCTTGTGAATATTGCGGTGTGCTACCGATTTCGCAATGGAATTTCGTTTTGTGCCCGGCGAATTATGTACGATAATAATTATTTGGTTGTCGGGTGTCCAAAAAATAATGGAAAAAAAAAAAAAATTCTAATATATACGTTATACATATATATGTACACAATATAGGTATACAATAATATTATACCCATATCAATTTATATTTATTTTACGGGTGTGAGAGCGTGCGCACGCGTGTACGTATGTTGGCGAACGATTTTGACACGTACCGTACAAAATCCATTATTTTATAACGTACTCTTAAAGCTATGGAATATTATATTTTTGACTGCAAGATCATTGCTCGTTGTGGTATCGTAAATATATATTCGAACGTATGAACATTATAAAACACAATATACGGTATACGTACACTGTGCGCAAAACGGATATGCACGGATAGCCGGCAATATTATTTTTTTTTAATAAATTTTTTTTTCTTAAATTCCGTGTCTCCCGGTTAACCCTGTTACAAAACGTATAGGTACGCGCGCGCGACCGAAAATCGTCCCTGGCACTGTCCTCGAACAATTACGTAAATATATACAGTACATGTATACAGAATAAAAGTACAATGGAATAACGAAAGAGATAAGGCTGTCAAATCGAATAATCCGGACTAACACTTATTATTATTATTATTATTATTATTATTATTATTATTGTCAACGTCAGACGTGACGGTGCGCGGTGGCGGATAACGATTGCTTACATAATGCGAGGAAAATATTGTTATTATTTTGTATTACCGCCGAGGACTTGACGAGATCGCTGTACCCGTTAGTCTGTGTGCGCGTGCTCACATACAAATATACGAATTATGATGTTATAACGATGTAGTCGTTGTCGCGACGGATTTTCGAGAGAACGCACGCGCGTAAAATGTCGTAATCTCACAACCCAAATACCTAGCCAACCTTAGACTGCCGCCGCGGATAAATATACCGAATATCCTCCCGGCGGTCACTCGAGTGTTACACGGCGGCCTGCGCGTACCGCGGGAGCAAAAACAAAAAAAAAAAAAAACCAAAGGTTATACGTTATTATTAGATATTGGTCTCCTGCACGCGTGTAATGTTTACGCACCAAGGATCAACGTCGGGTCGCTACAGTTGGAAACGTTACCGTTGCGGTTACAATACGTCGGCGTTACGTCGGCGAACCCGATGAAATCGCGACCGTTTCGCTGCCGGACTTGAGCCCTGAGCGACAAAGACAAACGAACGAAATCACGTAATCCCCGTGGCACCGTCGGGCACGGGATTTTCTTACCCTGCACAGGTTTTTCTCCGTTCGTTCACCTCATAGCCTCCGTTCACGTGTAAAGTTCACGATAAGTTACGAAACACCTGAAGCTTTGAGACGGATTTCTTTTCCGATATCGCGACGGTCGTTTTATAACGAATAACGTGCTGATCCGAAACGGCGACTACCAAGGGTAACCGAGGAGCTTTAAAACTGAGAAAGACACGAACGTTTTATGGGACGAGAAAAAAAAAATAACAATAAAACTGCACGGTGAAAAATCAATTAGGATTGAACCGATTTACGAACACGATTCAAGCGTCGCACATCAAAATCGTAAACCCTAATATTGTGGTTCTGCTTTGCGCCAATATTGCTTAGTCGTCTCTCGCCACTGCGATGTTACAAAGATATGGTTTATGCATTATGTACGTATTTGCGTTGGCGCAAAACCAATTGTATGTAACGTACTGCATTTGTGATGTCTGCACGTCATTATTATTACGCGTATAAATTACGTACCTGTTTGGGACGAGAATCAATACCAATTGCAACATCTCCAAACGTCGTTTACTAAAAAAAAAAACAAAATTTTAATATATGCTTATTGACACAAGATATACCCTGCGATTTCAACATTTTTTTTTTTTTTTAATACTTTACATTAATTATCGATCATACGTCGGTTGTTAGTTACTAAAAGTGAATTCGATAAGACATCATTCAATATGATCGTTACGATCTTGAAGACCGATGAAAATTAAACCATAATTATTTACTCGAAATACGCCACGTGGACAGTTCAACCCGTTCGCGTATTGTAAACCTAATAATCCGCAGCACACATACGTATTATTACCACTATTATTCAACATACACGTCGCGTGTGTTTTTAACACGTCGATACAGGCGAATAATATAGGTTTTTCGTGAAAAATACTGTTTTCAAAACGTCGATTTTGTGTAATACCCATCGTACGAAATAAGTATACAGCTGGTTTACGCGGACCTATACAACGATAGTTGTTGTTCGAAAAATAACTCTTACTTTCTAATACGCGTACAATTTAAAAGTTCTATTCGCACAATATACATATAAATATGTATATATATATATATATATATATATATATATATATATATATATATAAATTTCAACTGGTTCGTGTTGATGGTTTGAAACACGCGTTAAATAATAACCAGTATATGTTAATATATCTGACGGTCAGAATTGTTTTCGACTCGTGTTATTAGCGCATCATAATTATTTGTTATCCTCCTCCCCGTCCCGTTCGACTCGTATAATTCGGCCATTTGATTACAAGACACTACCGCAGTCATGTGTTTAAATATATCGTGGTGTGCATAACAGCATTCAATTATTTGTCGTGCGCGTGTCACCCACTTTTCCCGAGTCTTTTTT